TTCCTTTCGGAGCCCTATTGGTAGGTGCATAAACTCAGGATGACGCTTCAATATTTCGGCTTTTAGCAGCGCCCATAGGTTCTTAATAGGATTTAAATCAGGTGAATAGGGCGGTCACTCCATAATTTCGCATTCAATATTATTAAGAGCGTCTTATACGATATATATAGTGTGAACGGGCGCGTTATCTTGCTAAAAAATAGCATCTATTCTAACCATTGCTACACTGGCACAAATGGAGACGGATGAGATATTTTTGGCCCGCACGGGGCACCTGCGGTCTGAACACTGGCGATGTAGGCCTCGTTGACGGAGGGCTACAGCGCCGTGAGGGCTGCAGGCGGGCCCGTGGCACTCCGTATATTCTAGGAGGAAAAATAGCTATGCGGGAGCATACGTTGTATATACATGAGGGGGTTCCGCGGTGGGCGGGAAGAAACCGTCGCGGAGAGAGCCCGGCTCTCCCTCGAAACGGCGATGTTCTTTTCGAGGGAGGGGAAGGCCAGGCGATATTTGTGTGCGAAGTCCAGCACCGGATATCGTGGGCCCGACGCAAGGGGGCTCTCACGCAACAGTCCCAAATAGAACCTATCATTTTAATCAATACTAGTAAGCAGCGTAGGTAGGATACGCCGATAAAGCTCTTTAATTGTACGTAAAGACACGCCTCCGCGACGAGACTGCGGATCTCCGAATAGTGGAATTAGGCTAGAACGATGCGGTAGACCACTAAAAGCAGCCTAAAACATCTGCTTAATTTGCTTCCCACGTGTCGGAACCATTTGTACTTAATGTCCTTCTTCGTGATGCTAAAAAAGCTGCTCTTTCGGACGTATAAAGGTCTATTCTTAACGCTGTCCGATACCACGTTTAACCGTACATTCGTTAGACCAATAGACGCGGGCCCAATCCGTTGATATAAAATGCTGATATCGTAGGGCCCAATATAGCCGTTTCTCGGCGTGTAAAGGCGTAAGTGCCGGACGCTATGTTTTCCTCTATTTTCGAAGACCTATTTCGTGGGTAAGGCGCTAAATTAACTAGCGGTAGACCTTAAAATCGATCTCTCTAAGTAGATCTTCGATCAATATAGAAGGCTTCTCTTGTATAGTATCGTAGATATAGTCACTATCCTCTCTAGTAAGCTTCCTCGGGGTTCCTGAGCGTGGAATGCTTTGCTGTTTTTGGCGTTTTGCCTCTTAGGTAAGGGTATATTGAATGGTTGAGCGTGGAATGTCAGGAAATCGCATTTTTTTGATAGTTGTTGCACCCTAGCTATTGGTGGCATGTAATTCACAAATTTTAGCCCTCGTAAGGCAGTCGAGCTCTAGGCCCCTTTTCCCACGTATAGGAGGCATAATTAAGTGAGAAAATTGCGAGAATTTTATTAAAACGCGTTGATATATAGCGCGTATACTAGCGTGTTGATAAATCGTGAGATTTCATGGTCTAAAATAGTAGGCGGTCTATCCTAGCGGTCAGGAGCCCGAAGTACCGGAGGTCAAATACTTTTGTTACACCACTGTACCTGAGCTAGGCAAATTTAGATTACCGCATTCTGAGTGGGGCGCGGGGAAAGAAAGCGTGTGTGTCTGGGGGGTGAACTGTTTTCGAAATCCTCTGCACTGTTGGAACACTTGAATAGTCCTGCACCTCATGCCGCTGTTTGACCGTGTCTATGGTACGGGGCGCCCCCATTTTGTTCAACAGGTACCTGTTCTGGAATGGAGCCAGGCAGCAAGGAAGTGTGGTTACTCGAATTCTCGGGCACTAAAGTTTTCCTCGCGCATGTGTAATAAATTCTGTCTCTGCAAGTGCTACCATGGAGTCTAAAGCAAGATTCAAAACTAAGCTGATTTTCTGATGAGGTATTTTATATTATAGTTCCTATTAATAGTTATCAAGCCGACAGAGCTTCTTTAATTGTCTCTCAGTTACCTATCTCATAGAAATTACGCCTTAATCAAAAACAGTCGAGCCCTTGAAATCAGGGAACTTTGAATTAAAAATGCGACTATTTCGGTTCTGAAAATGTGCCAAGAAGTGAAGTCGATTTTGAGTTAGCTAAATCCGATGCAGCAGTTTAGGGGGCAGAATGTGCCTTCAAATCGGTGCAGCAGGAGTAAGCCAATACCCACTACTGCACACACGTATTGACTGCCATCTGGTAACTATATCCCTACCGTGCCTATCCTTTCCTTATTACTCCAGCCTGGTGTCAAGTGTATAACTTTCTTAACTTGTTTTAGTAGGTTCAAACCGAATACCGATTGGGGCTTCGAAACGTCTACCTCGGTTACGATGGATAAAATTCATTGCAACTTTGAGCCCTTGCACAGCTTGGTCTGGCCTGGGCTATCTGTGATTAATCTACCTTTAGAGTGGCGAGAAAGCCTCCACTTGACGGAGCGAGACTCAACTTAACAGTTACCCGCATGGATTCAGGTACTCGCAGACCAAATAGGCTTCTCGAGGAATTCTCAACGCAGGAGGGGTGGCGGGCTTATGGGCGATTATACTGTGCTTCTGGGACACCTTGCTAACCACTAGGCTGGGAAGCAGTACCACACTCCATGCAAATCATATCGGCTAAGTTCGCATGGAAAATGCAAACGGATGATAGAGACAGGGAACAACAAAGATATAGCGCCGAAGTACCGCACAAGCAACAGATTAAAGCCAATGTTGCAGGCATGGCTAGTGTTGGTTTACAGCAAGGATGTTCGTTATCTTGCCCAGGGGATTGTTCGTAGATTTGCTTTAGAAACGTACGAGGTACTTTCATCGATAGGTTGTTTTAGGCTGCTTCTGTGGATTTCTCTGTCTGCCCTGCTCTGAGATCGGGGGCTGCCATACCTTATTTCGGATTATTGCAGTGAAGAATAAGGTACTCCATACTTTAACCAGAAATTAAGATTGGCTGGTGTTACTTGCGGTAAAATAAGATTTTAGCGCATTTAGCCTACAACCATAGCGTGCTTTTTATTCTTACCGGTTTTACTCTAATCCTCAAGATGGCGACTTCGATCAGCCAGGGAATAGTTAGTATTTGTGCTGCATACCATACTATACTTGTTAGTATCAGTATAGTATACCCTTCGCTGGCACTTGCTTGTCAGTTTCGTGTCCTTTCTCTGCCCCAAACAGCACAATCGCCTCCTCCCCCCGCATAACAAAAGGGACACATGAAAATAGATTATCCAGGTCTGCACAAAATAATGCTAAAATTGATAAGGCCCAACCGGATTGATATTTTCCGTGCGTTTTTAGGCCTAGATTTAATCTTTCTTTTACATTCTGAACAATCCAGTAAGTTAGTAGTGGGTCTTCCCACATTCACAGTTTAGGAACCGTGAGCAAATAATTTAGATTACCGGCGCCAACTAGACTAGAAAACATGTGCTTACGGTAAATATACAACTCACACTAAGTAAATATAGCCTACTAGCACCTTTGGAAGTGTTTATACTCCTCAGAAAGCTAGCCAGCAAAATTATAAAAGGGGACAGGTTCCCAAACCTACTGTTGGTTACTACTTTCTGGTTATCCTTTACTACGCAGAACTTTTTACTACTTCAAACTTACAACATAAGCCCTGCAAAAACATTTCAAGTTTCAAAATGCAGATCGTCGCAACTCTTGCTACTCTTTCTTTACTTCCCTTCCTGGGCGTATTTGCTGATGAGCACCCGCAGTGTTGGTGTGCTTACAAGGTTGGAAGTACCTGGCAAGCGGATGAGGCCCTTACTTTTAATACTTGCCACAGGAATGTTCCCGATACAGAGGTACAGTGTTTTCACCCATTGCCCGTAAGGTTTGCACAGCTAATAGTATTTTAGGGTCAGTATGATTTTGGCGTTGAGAGAGTAAGTATAATATGCTTCTGATAACTGCCGTCTGAAAATTATCTAATAAGTTATAACTAGTGTGTCGCCATTCAGCATAGGCGTCTTGATGGAGACAGGTGGAACGGCGATTGTGTGCAACAAGGAAAGGATGGCTGGTATCCAATCAACGACGGTGCTATCGACTACACTCAGGCTCCTAGGTATGGGACTACCAAGGGCTTCTGCTAGGTGCACATACTATCCCTGGCTGGCTCATACTGCCAAGCCTCACTAAGCGACATGTCTACAGGAGGTTGGGACTTACCAGGAATATGGGGATCAGTATTGTATTGACTCAAACGGCGCCTCTGGGGTTACCAAGGATTCAGCGTCATGCAATACTTCCCCTCTTTGGTTTACCGTCCTTTTGCCACCTTTTGCCACCTCAGATTTGTAACCTCCGAGTCAAGGCTATGAGCCAGGGTATTTCGACCCCCTCGACCTCAGTATATACTTTACCAGAATCAACACTCTTTTCATCTCATGATAACCATCCTATTGGAAATTAGGCAGCGAAAGAAAAAGTTCTCGGACGAGTGGCGCCCCTTTCTACATGGAAATCAATCAGCCTACGGCGCTGTCAATAGTCCGAATTCGGATGATAACAGTGCTCAGTCTGACAGCGAGTCCGATTCAGATAAGAAAAAGAATAAAAGTGCTGCTCGGATCAAAAGTTTTCGTAGAGAACGACTCCATTCGCTCGGTACTAGTGGAATTACTCGAAGGGCTTTAGTATTTTTCATATACTTGATCCCTAGGAACAATCGTAAAGAACGCTCTATATTGCCACTAGCGTTGTCTGTGTCGCGTGTCAACGAGTTCTGAATATTCTGATCCACTAGCGGTTAGCCGACTTTGCCGATAGTATTTTTCTAACGAAACGCTATACGCCTCATTGGGAAAGTGTGCTTTGTTGCAGCTTGTTGGTGGCGGAGCTGGACTAGGGCTGATGGAAGCACCCGTGACAATCTCGATCAGATGGTTTTCCTACCGGTAAATCACATACGGCTTTCTGTCATCATGAATCTACCGATGAATTTCTACATCGAGAATGACTTAGCAGAGCTTGTAAAGTCGATCGATTAGGGCGGAGCGTTGAACAATATTCTAAAAATGGCTATTCTCAATATCGCCCCGGTAGTGGCCAAGTTGTTTATTGGATGTTTTGTTTTCTATCATAAATTCAACATCTACGCTTCTCTCTTGGTGGTGATTGCCTCTGTCACCTATGTTTCGGCAGAAGTTTTTACTTCCAATTGGAACCTAGAGCATCAACGCGAGGTGAAGCAAACCCAGCGAAATGAAACCCGCATCGTGCAACAAGCCATGCAAGGCTGGCGCACTATCACATACTTCAACCAGTTCTCTTACGAGAGACCGGATTCCTGGGGTCAATGACCGAAAAGCACCCCGTTTGCGAACCAGTTGATGGTCTGTTGTGCAAAGCTCCAGCGCCCGGGATTTTGGCCTACAGAAAATGGTCAAAACCGTGCACGTCACCATCGTATGCTTTGCCACTCCAAATTTGTGCAGAGCTAACATATCGTTGATATATCCTTGATTAGTGGTGTCTTCCAACGCCTGTATCTCTTCTCGATCGCTTCGTGAGATTGTAGACAGACTCGGGGCCCTCGAACCACTTAGTCGGGTTGGATCTGTGCGGTCGAGATTTAGGAAGAGAGGAGAAGAATCGAAGGAAGCTTGGTTCTCTATTGAGAAACCTCGGATGTCAGATTCAGGTTCGGTGTTTTTGGTACTCTTTTCTCGGTTGGAAGATGCGTCAGAATCGTCCGATTCAGCGTCCCGAATCAGAATCAGGGTTGGGAAGCAAGTGGTCTGCTTCTTCAGAGACCGCTGCATCGATTTGAGGATTCGACTGCGCTTCCTGAGGGACTGGCAGGTCTGGGTCATTGTGTAACGTCGAGTCATCCCCTTCTCCAATAATTGCGTCTCTCACGAAGTGAATAGTGCCACCGGCGTTTCGAGTGCTGTCAGGCTTCTTGCCGTAAGGTCGGTAGACCTTATAAATAGCACCAGTATCATCAGCATAACCGGTGAGATATCCGATCTCAATACGGCGAGCAAGGTGCTTGCCTGCCGGATCCTGAGCAATTTACTCCTTGCTGAATACTCGAAATACTCGACTGCCGATGATGCGGAGATGAGAGAGGTCAGGCCTCCTGCCGTATCTCAATTCGCACGGAGTAATTGGCGATGCATTAGCGAGTTTTCTTCCGTGATCGACAGTTCGGTTTCTGAAATATACGACAGAACTCATTATCTCAGCCCATAAGAAAGCAGGAAGCTTCGAATCAGCTAAAAGGGCTCTGCCACAATACACACGAAGCCGTTCCATCTTGCCATTCTGCTCGTGGGCCTATGGCGAACCGCATTGGCTATACGCCGCTCCATCTCGCGATTCGAAACAAGCGCCTGGAAATGGTCAATTTGCTCCTAAGTCACCCCCGTGCCAACGTGAACTGCAAAGACAAACATGGCAATACGCCACTTTGGCTGTCTCTTTACTCGTCATGCGACGAGATAACCGAAAGGCTGTTGGCCGAGAAAGACATCAACGTTCAATTTTGTTGGAGGCCGCGGGAGATTCGAGACGCTGTCTACATCTCTCCACCACGCCGTGACCAGGTTGCATGCCGTGCTCCTACGACGGCTGCTTGCGGTGTCAGGGATCGATCCGAATATCTGTGTTGCAGGTCACTCTCCAATCTCCCTGCCGCATGTCACGGACGCGTGAACACGGTTGATTGTCTACTGAGTATGGAGGGCATGGAGATTAATGGAAGGGATGTAATAGACCCGCCCATTTGTCGAGCGGTTGCACATGGCCATCTCAATGTGGTAAGACTCTTAGTGCAGCAAGACGCACATCTGAACATCAATGAAAGCACGATCGCAACTCACGACACTGCTCTCTGTATTGCCGCCGGTGGTGGCGACTTGGAGATGGTCCAGGCACTACTAAGCCGTGATCGGACTGATGTGAACATCAGGAATCAATGTTCTGAGGATCCATTGATGTTGGCGGTCAAAGGCGGGCATTCCTCGATTGTTGATGCACATGTGGTCAATCCCAGATTGATATACCTCAGTTTGACAAAATCCCTGGATCTAACAAGGAACGATTGCATCCAGAGGGCCATTCGAAGCAGAATGGAAGATGCCAACACTCCGCAAAGATTGCTGAAGCGGTCTCCGGGGAGAAGGTTTGGTGGTCTGGAAGAGCTGGCGACATCTACTTCGGGTAGCTGTCGTGATGCAATGCGGGACGGCCGAGTTAATCGACACTTTCTCCGCTAGCTACACTGCCCACATTGTCACTGGATCCGTAGTTTTTTGTTATAATATATTGGGGTAATAAAAGCGATACTAGAACATGCGGGATTATTCGCAGAACATTCCACGAAGGCTATGCTATTCCAGATGTAAGCTACTTTCCATGCGGTAATTCTCTCTCAATTACAATGTTGTCATATTATTGCCAATTTGGAAAAGTAAGACCTACGACAATCATGAATACATATGCAACCCTTCACCCTTCTCTTGCGTTGTCCAAGAACCCTGGTACATGTAGATTGAGTCTGGACGGGTGGTTCCAGTCATCGAGTACGCGAGTCAGTCGACCCCGAGATGATTCCAGTGCCTGCTCGAAAAAGCGCAGCCGAGACAGCTGCTTGTCGTGGCGCAGCTGAAGTCCGTCCCTTTCTTGAGTCAGGTGTCTGCTAGCCTCCTTCAAGATCTGATTGCTCTGCTCTAGGTTCTGACCATCGATGTGTTTGGACACGCACGACTCCCACAGGCGTCGATAGAGTCTGACAATTCGACCTGCGGGAAAGGAGGACTTGGGATCGTCGCGTTCGAGGTCTGCTAGCACCTTCAGAATAGGCTGAAAGGGCTCGGTCGCCAAGGTATGTCTTGTTTCTGCTTCCCGTTGCGAGGGAGAGAGCTGCGACGGTCAGCAAGAGCATTGGAAGCTGAGCCGCCATACTTACCAGTGGAGGGACATGATCAGAAGCCTCCTGCGAATTCTCTTTTTCAAAAACGATTTGCAATGCACTGGGCTGTTGTTCTCCTTCTTTTTCCTGGTCTGGCGTGCTGTTAGGGGCATCCATCTTGATCTCAGGGGAACGAGTATCTGGGCAATAGCATGTCCACTAATTTTTGGAGGCTTTTATAGACTAGAGGACATCGGTGGCTAGGTACTCAGTCTCATTTTCACCAGGGAAGTTAACCAGCGTAGTCAGCTTTTTAATCTCAGCACTCTGTTTGCAGTCTGTTCAATGGTGGTGTTGACGATTAATCTCGCGATGTTGATGGTTGGTGAACGTGCCTCATATTGGTGGCTTCTGGTGATGAAGGGATATATATTCTGTTGAAATGTAATGACTAGGCAGTGGTGTCTTGGCAAGAGGCTACCGTCTTGAACGAGGTGTTTTAATTCTGACTCTCTGAAGAGGTACTTCTACAGCTATTTGTAGTAGTAAAAATACAATAAGCGAGAGTGCGATGGAGCTACAAGAGTTCCATGGTAGAAAGCATCCAATAAGCCCTATATGGTCGTTGCACATGAATTCAGAGATGTTGATGCCTCAGGCTTGCTGAGCCAATATCTCAACACTTCCAAGCTTCCACCAGGCATTTTTTAAAATAAAGCCAGTCTACCTCCGACCTTCCCTATGCCAATAAGCTCCGGAAATAATGCAAAGAGCTTCACTTTTAACTAGCGCCATACCGGTTCAATTGGGTTCAAATCGGGTGAGTGCGCGGGCCAATCCTCGACGTATACTCCGTGAGTTTCAAACCGCTCTTTCGTGTCCTTCGCTAGATAAATCCTCGCGTTATCTTGCTGAAATACTAAATTAGGGGTGTAGATTAGCATCAGACCTTTTTCGAGCGTCGAAATATACGACTTCGCAGTATAACCCCTCCCCGAAGGCGAGTCTTCGTCTCTTTCCATAATAATTAGGTCTATCTAATTCTAGCCCAAACCATTTGTGAATTATCTTTTACGTGAGCCTTAGCATTCACAAGATCTTTTCGAAGGCCCTCCGAAGTCGTACGAAAGCACCATTGTGGTCCAAAGTTCGAGGTTCGCTGCACCGAACACTGGTCCGAGAAGATCCACGATTGGAAGCTTTCGCGTCGCCATTTTCGCGCAAATTTTAGCCTTTTCCTTACAAGAGGAGGTTTAATTGGTATTTTCTATTTCGATCGCCGTTTTCCGAGTCCGAATCGCTTTAAAATTCGACGTATAGTGGAGGGTGACGGATGCTGAGCTATAGTAGCACTTAGCTATTTATATGTCCAAAACGGATGCCGACGTGCTTATAAATAGAGGTGAGAGCAAGCGCGCTCACTAATAATTACGGGACGGCCACTTTTTTCACGATTTTCGAGGGTGTCTTCTTCGTAGTAGCGCTTAAGCGTATTGTAGATTGTCTTACGAGAACAGCCGAAATCATTAGCTAATTTCACTTGCGAAATACCATTTTTGTGACCAGATAAAATAGCTGACCTTTGTATAGCAGTAAGCTGCGCCGTTTTGCTACTTTTTGCATCTATTTTCATTACAATCGGAGCAATAGGGGAGGTGTAGGAAGAAAAATTAAAAGGTGAGTTGGTTGCCGGGTCAAATTGTAGTGGGGCAGTGGGTAAGAACATATGACTAACCGGCCCTTACATTTTTTACAAAAATTACAGACCCTCCTAACGGGGAACCTCAAAAGCATTTCTAGGAGCTGTTTATCCCCTAGGAAATACTCTTGAGATCCTGGGGCTGTTTCTATTCTTAGGAAAACGAGATCTACCCCTGGGACCTTCGCCTTACGTTCCTGACTGAATACGGAACTGGCTCTGGGAATACATTGACCAGATCCGGGAGTTGTGGAGCCCCTGGGAGCTTACTTTATGGTCCCAGAGTCAATAGCTTCCCCTTCCGAGATCGTCGAAAGCCCTCACAAAACACCTTCACCCACCCTTCGCACAACTCTGCGTCGTTGGATCCCCCAAGTTCCTAGCACCAGTGAAACCATCTACAGGGGCGTGACCTGTTTCTTAATGGTGATGAAGAAAATGTGCATGTTTGTATCTGGATACCGCTATGGATATCTAGTTGCTGGTTATGCGGACAGAGACAGAAAGTGCGCATAAAACATGGAAAGTTTTATCTAAGTTCCGGCGTTGAAGGCCATATAAAAATGATTTCGGACCAAAGTACCCCTAGAGAGAATAATTTTTCGCTTTATTCCGGAGGCAGAACTCCAATGGGACGACGCCTGTTTGAGCACCACTTTACGTGCGGGTGAGAAGTCGAACACCACTGCAGGGAGTTACATACAACCAAACCCCAACTTGCAATCTCAAGCACGGTTGCTCCATCG